CTCACGCCGTCCTCCTGTCTGTTGTGTTGTTTCCCATTGTTACCAGTCACATGTGAATAGCTGCAGTGATCAATGGAAAATGATGGGAATTACCCCTTGGCCATGGTCGGGTCACAAAACAGAGATAGTAACGCAGCGGGGGATAGATAGCGGAAAAGCTACGTAGTGGTCAGGTCCTGTGGGATGTGTCAAGGCAACGGGGCAGAGGAGATGGCAGTCAGAGGATGTGGGTCACTGCCACAGCACCCACCAGTTCCCACAATGACACCCACTTTTTCTGTCTTACCGGGCAGCTCCTTTTGAGATTATTTCTGGCCTCGCATGTCTGTAATTTAGGGGCTAGAGGTACAGGCTTTTCCTAAGCCCCTTTTGGCGTTTGTGGGTACTATACACTGGAGGGCTGCTTACATTGCACTTCTTTGACAAATCCACCCTCTTTCACCAAATTAAAACCAAATGTTGATGCAATAATACAGCTTTTACAGTAATTGGCCTATAAAACTTTATTCTAAAGAGATTTTTTTCTGTGTGGGAAGTAGCTCAGAATGAGTATTCAGTGAGGTCACATTAGATACGCCCAGGACCCGGGGATACGGGGATACGGCTGTGTTCTCAGCAGAGCCCACCACATTTGTAATCATCTTAGTTCAACGGAAGTCGAATGTGTGGACGGGGAGCGGGAGGCAATGCCCAGGAGAAGGTGTCTACCGTTGATCTAATGCTTTTGGGAAACTGCGGAAACAGGCGAACACATATTTTCACATATTTAATCCTGGATGTGTCATTTCCTTTAATTTGTCTAAATCTCTATCGCATGTGCATTATTGTCCTTATTACGTCTTCTGTGTCTGGTAAATGCCCCTTTCCTATGAGTCACACTGGCTTGAATAATATCTAACAATGTTGCAATTTTTCTCATCTCATTCTCTTTCCCCGTCTGTTTTTTTTTTTTTTTTTTTTTTGGAAAAGCAACCAGGCAAAAATGCTCAACTATGGAAAACAGTGGAAATATTTGTCAGAGTGACCAAAAGAATGATGGTCTGAGGCCAAATATGATGTCAGGGGATGAGGCAGCCGCAGCAGATACAATCATTTCTCCCTTTCTCCTTTCTGGCCTCTGTTTTTCATCTTTAGCTCAAATCATCAAACACACCATGCCCTCGCTGTGATCTCTTCTCTGAGCCAGAATCCACGTAGAAGGCCACAAACCTGAAAATAAGCAGTTGTCAGGCAATCAGCGGAGTCTCCACTAACTTACTGATCTCAGCAAAGAAACAGTCTGACACATAAAGCCCTGTAAAATGCTAAACTATTGATTTTAAAGTTAGATTTTTGTACATATTAAACAAATAAGCTGCAACATGCTAATGAGGTGCTTCTAGGTGGATATTGTTTCCTTTCAGAGTTTGGTTTGCTCTTTAAGCTAAGATGGTCTATGCACTACAAGGATGAGAGAGTATCAATCTTCTCATTTAACTTGTGGCAAGAACACACATTTCTGTCACACTCCTGCCCCTCTTGCTTCCTGTCATGCTTTTATTTTCACATCACTTCCTGTTTTGTTTCACCTCAGTTTTGGCCCTTTTATTTAATCATCATTAGTTCACCTGCTCCTTATTGTTTGCACCTGTTTTTCACTTCTATTTAGGCAGCGTCCTCCCACCAGGACGCTGCCAGATTGTTCTAGACCCCAGCTCTGACTCTCCAGCACTTATGCATTTATCCCTTGCCTGACTCCCTGTTTTTGACCTAGGATTACCGTTTCTTGACCACCGTGTTTTGTCTATGCCCTCCCAGATTCTGATCGCCTGCTGTGTACCGACCTTCTGATTTTGTCCCCCTTGACCTCGAGTTTGGATCCCCTGGCTATACCTGTTAACCGGCGCCGACCCTGGACTGTCTTATCGACCTGAGTTATTTTCTGGACTTTTGTTAGTTGTTTTGTTTACTAGTAAAGAACTTTTCGCTACCTCAGTTCGTCTGGTTATTTAATTGAGTTCGCCACAACCTCTGTTTGGCATCTGTACACGCCAAACCTGACAATTTCCTAAGATGACAAAGTATTCCCTAGAATATCAAATCAAATCAAATTAAATGTTATTTGTATAGCGCCAAATCACAACAAAAGTAATCTCAGGACACCTTACAAAGTAAGGTCTAGACCTTACTGTTATCAATATTATTACATAGGGAAAACCCAACAAATCCCCCTTGAGCA